AATCATCACGGTGAAGATAGATTCCTCTTTTTGTTTTATTTTGCAAATTCTACTCTTTTCCCCATAATGGGTGAGAGATGAAAAATTCTGAACATTTCCCATTGTTTTCAAGGAAACATAAACCTAGACTACACACGTTGTATTTCCTTTATGGCTTTTGACATGTGACAGAGTTCTTCAAGGAACACAAGAAAACGAAGCAGAAGGCTTGTAAATGAGGAGGAGAGGAAGAGGAGGAGGAGGAAGGGGAGGAGGAGGAAGCGGGGAACTCGTTTCGACGTTCTGTCTAGGTTTTGTTTTGGTAGTCATCTGGTTCTTTGCATCATGGAGTCAGGATGTGTGAGATGTGTTGCAATGTGTCTTAGAATCAGTGGGGTTCCAGAAGAATTGGCAGTACTGTGTTTGTGTGTGTTTCCTGGAAAAACAGAAAGTAATAGCCCGCCTTATCATTCATGTCACGTGGAGCTTGGTTGGTGAAGTTCCTCTCAACCCTTCAGAGACCTATTGGGTTTTCTAATTCTCCCATAAAACCTGCAGGGCGACCATGGTATCGGTGACGAGTCTTCAATCTGTGGTCCATGAACGAATGAGGAAAGGGGAGGGGGAGGGGGGGACAGGGAAGGGAAGAGGAGAGAGAGTCCATGTCTTCAGACTGATTTTGACTTCTAGGATGGGGATGTGATTTTGACTTTTAGGATGGTGTCAGCAAAAATAACAGCCCGTATGTGAGGGCCCTGTAAGCTGTCCCCGCGAGTTTCCGGAAGGATCGGCTGCGAGGGGGAAAGAAAACAAACCCTGAATGTGGCATTCGCCAGAAGCGTCCACTTCAGTCTCATGATTTCATTTCCTGCCGCCCTGATGCTAACCCTTGCGGTGGCCTCGCTCCTCCTCGCTCCACCTCGCTCCTGAGGGCTGAGGGCTGGGTGTGAGACTCGCTTTCACAGCTGGGGTTACCGCTCCCTCCCCTTCCACTCAGAAGCAGCGTCTCCCCCACAGCATTTTTCATGAATTCCCCGCTCACTTTCCTGTTGTTTTTTTTTTTTAAACCACTGATTCTAAAACCAAAGCACATTTTTTCCCCCAATAGGAGTCTAGCATGAAGCATGAATTCCTGAACTTCCCAGAATATGTGTGTTTGGCTTTCAGCAGTCACGCACGCCAGCCGGCACCGTGGCCCTGTGGTTAATCACTGTGGGTCTGGCCGGGGAAACAACCTTATTTTTCTAGTGATTTACTTTAATCCCTCCCAGCAAGAAACTACAATTATTTTCTTCTCTTTGGATGAGTCATACAGAAGCAGCTTCCCAAACTTAGCCAACTTGCCTTTTAAAATTAAGGTAGTTGCGTGCACTTTTAGCCAAAAGCACAGTTATGCATTATTAAGACTATTTCTGACTTTAGTCTTTGGGGACTAGGGAAGAAACTTATTTTTAGAAGTAACTATATATGTGATACGTGTAAATAGATATATTACAAATATCAGTACCGGTTATTAATATCATCTGGTCTTAGAAAATGTTAACCACCCCAAAGGAAAATAAGATTTCAATGGTTAGTTGGAGAGGTTATAGATTGTAGTCTACTCCCAGCTGTGGGCTTAAGTCATGTTTGGGCAACCATTATTTATCCCCCAACTATTTTAATTTCAATTTTAGTGATTTATTATGCCGGCGAAGCAATCTTCTGTGGCTGTTTTGTGTTGTTTTAAGTCCCCGTGGCAAATTGCTCCCCCCACCCCCACCCCGTGCAAGATGCTCACGACACATAGCCAAAAGCTATAGATCTACTAATGCAAAATTATGACAGAGCCTGGTTGCAAATGCTTTTTAATGTAGCTCATTGAAGAGGACACTTCATACCTCTCTTTGTTTCATGACTAACATACATGCTGTCAATCACTTCACACCCTCTCCCCGGACTCCCAGGCTTCCCGGGGCACCTTCGCTACCTCTCTCCCCGCTCTCAGCCATGTCTGATCCAGTCCTTTTCCCCTTGTGTGAATAAAGTCCAAACTCGACCCTTCTCTGTCCTTGCCCGTTAAGATCTAATGTGCAGTAGGAAATGGTGAGCTTTGACCCAGCATTAACAGCCGGCTGAGGTCATGGCTGGGGTGGTGGCAGCTGCCTCGAGAAGTATTTGCTAACGGTGCACCCGCTCCATGCCCCCCGCCTGCCGGGGCCCGTGCTGGGGGGTTAGAACTCATTCCCCACTCGGACTTCTTCCCCTCTGCGCATCCTCTAGAGCGTGGTTCTCGGTGGCGTTCTGTGTGGACAGAGAGGGAAAGGGCAGCGCTGGTATCACCACGTGATTCTCTCTTTGACTCTCAGATAACCGCCGTCGTGGGCAGCTTTTAGGCTCTTCCCCCCACACCCCCCCCCCCGGCCCAGGTCCCTGACATCTGGGATTTGTGACTCAGCTCCATTTGGTTTCATTCCAACATGCAAGGCTCGCTCTTAAAACTACTTCGTATTCAGGAATACAGTGTCTCTTCTTCCCCGCCCCCTGCCACACACACACACACATACAACGTGCTCCAGCTGACATTGAGAAACTCCCTGCCTGACAACTCGCTAGGATTTAAGCAAGCCCATCCACTTGGAGCTGGGCATTTGGTTCTGATAAATCCCTGGCTCTGGGTACCCGGAAGGAAGGCTCGGAGGAGAGAGGCCCGATGCTGGATGAGCTATTACATCTGTCTTTCTCCCCGCAAAGAATGGCAGTGAGCTTGAGGCATATAGGTCAAGTGAAATGAGTCTGCAGATCAATTCTCAACCCGGCGCCTCGCTGATCTTCTCCGTGGCCTGAGATCCGTCTGCATCCCTGCCGAAAGATCCGCTCCAAACTCGGGGGAAGGTTTGCCAAACACAAAGCACAGGATGTATCTGTGTCTGACACTTCATTTTCGAAGGGCATCGTGTGTGGAGCCTGCTGCTTGTCGATTCCCCAAATGCATCCCTACACTGTCAGACTTGTACAAACCCTAGCATGTGTTTTACCCGTGCAAGAAGCCACCAGCCTAGCTCGGCCTCTGTCCCAGCTTCGGTAGTCTCCAGGAGAAACACGCGCGCGCGCGCACACACACACACACGAGACTTGGGTGCCTGGAAACGGGAATGTCAAGTGACCCCCGTGTCACATGACCGCGCCCATCTAGCCATTTGCAGATCAGAGCGTGGCCACGCATTTTCCTAAGTAAAACACTCAAAAAGCCTTCCTATGGTTGGCCTGGGGTTATTTCCCAGTGTCCTCTGCACCGGCTCTGCCTCCCTCAGTGTGAATGATTCTCCCAGGCTCGCCACCTGCCATGGGCCAACTTTTTTGTGTGTGTTGGTTTTGGTTTCTGTTCTTTAACTTCTATGGTTTTGCGCATGTTGGGCCCAGAGGTAAAGCTCTCTCCCCAGCACCCAGCCCTTCTGGGAAATGTTACCCACCCCCACCCCCCTCACAGGTCTCCCTGGTTGGACTCTTGGCGTGTTGCGTGTGCCAGTTCTGTAGTTCCACACCGGTCTCATTTATAGACAATCCACTCTTGGTTTTAACCTGTATTCGTGCGGATCGCTTGATTGAGCGTACACCCACCCCTCCATAGAGTAAGAATACCCACGGCTACCTCTGAATGCCCTCCTGGTGGTGTTTCCTGCGCTTGATAAGCCATAGCTCATCTCGACCTGTGCCTTGTCCCCGTCGAAGGCTGGAGAACACTGAAATGGAGACAGGTTAAGTGAGTTTGTCTCCAAGCCACCGACACCACAGGTGACAGAGGGGAGACTCTGAGCCCGCGCACACGCCCACGGCCCCTGACACGCGCGTGCATGCACCCTCTCACCCCGTCACCTTGAAGTGACCGCAGGCGCTTTACTTCCTTTGCTTGGGCTCTTCCAACACAAATTCAGACGGCTTGAATTATTCATTAGACGGGGTTACTTCGGGTCACAAGCTTCCCGGGACGGGGAGGCGCATGATGCCCGATCTGGCGACCGGACAGACCACAGGGCCCGAGCTGAGATTCGGGGCTGGGGTGCTGTGCCCGAGAATGGAGGTTGAATAGAAGCGAGGTGCTTTGTGGCACACGGACGGGTTTTGCTCTGAGAAGGGAGCTGGGCCTCCACGCAGGGTGGCTGAGCTCACCAAACCCCACACGGGCCCAGGAGGTATTTTAGGGGAAAGATATTTGGGAACAATGATTAAAACGTGGTCTGCTGGGGCTGGGAAGGTGGCTCAGGGGTAGAGCGCTCGCCTCGCATGCATGAGGCCCCAGGTTCGATTCCTCAGCACCCCATGAACAGAAAAAGCCAGAAGTGGCGCTGTGGCTCAAGGGGTAGAGTGCTCGCCTTGAGCTGAAGAGCTGAGGGACAGCGCCCAGGCCCAGAGTTCAGGCCCCACGAATGACAAAAAAAAAAAGTGATATGCTTTATTTTTTTTCTTGATTTTAAGATGCGTCGTGTACTTGCCAGCTTTCCAGTGTATAGAATTCTTTTATCATCCGTCTTCTCTTATTCCCAGTCTCACAGGTGTACTTTTATAATATATTTTCTCAAAGAGACCTGCCGCTCCTCCCCCCCAAAAAAAAAAATTATATTCGCAGCCTGGAGCTCCCCAGAGTCATGGGACCCCTGGACAAAACTCTGACTTTCTCTGTCTCAAAGAACTCTGCTCCAGCCTCGGCCCCACAATTCTGGGAGCGTGCGCTGGGCGTCTCCTGTAGGATACTAAATAACCTCCCTCCAGGCCCCTGTTTCAGGGTCGGTGGGGGTCTGCTTCCTGATGGTCCCTGCTCCAGTCTCGGGCACCCCGCTCTCGCTGGGGTGCCCAGGGATGCGGAGCTGGGCTTCGTGCCCAAGCTCTCCAGCCGCACAGGGACCCCTGCCTGGGGTGGGGGGGTGGGGGGCTCTCTGCTGGCCCTCCTCGCGTTTGCGTCACGTTTGGGCCGTGGGATACACGAGGCCACTGCCCTCCCCCAACAGCGCGGGTACTGACCAGCCCTCTCCTCACCTTGACAGAGTCGGCGTGGACCTGGAAGAAGACCAGAAGCCGGAGCCCTCGGCACACCAGGCAAGTCACAGCAGTGTCCGCGGGATGCCACCCCCCCCCGTGGGCTGTCCCACGCCAGTCGGTCCCACAGGGAGGCTCGTTCTAAATGGGGGGGCGCCTCTGCAGATAGAGCCAACCAGGCGGCAGGAGAATGCACGCCGATCGCGTGTGCCACATGCACGCTCACGGCTAGCACGTCCGTACGGCCCGTGTGTGCAGCTGTGAGCACCACGGGCCCCTGTCGGTGTCCGAGTCAAACCGCCCCCGCCTGACCTCCGTCCCTGCCCAGCCACGGGCCAGCTCACGCCGTGATCCCCCCCGCCCCCCGCTGACTTAACGTCCAGACCACAGGGGGACCCGCGTCTCCCGCACTGCTGCTCACAGCTCAGATGTTAGGTGAACAGGAAAATAGAAACAGACAGGAGCCGGCAGGGTGATCCACGCCAGCTGGGCCTGACCCAGCGTCTACAGAGATCTCAACAGATCTCCAGAGATCCAGGGGTGGCGGCAGCGTGGAACTCCCTCGAGTCACGGGAAAAAATAATTCTCCAAACCCTGGATTTGAACCCGACCTCAGTGTAGAATCTGTCTTTGTCCAGACCGCATGAGCGGTCGGGTGACTTGGACAGACAGACGGCTGGCCGTGGAGACGCGGCTCCCTCGGCTGAAGGGCAGACGGGGCGGCGTGATCGGGAGAATGTTATAATGGTGATGTGGCTTAATAGTCGACTCCGTGTGCCGATCGTATTTGCCTTTGAAAACGGTGCACCCCTCTTTGATCTTGGGGTTCCCCGAGGGCATGGCTGGTTTGGGGGTACCTGGCACATTGCCGCTTCCTGGAAAGCAGGAAGGATCCTGGGCTCTGCAGAGAAGTCAGCCGGGAGCCAGACTCGGGTGTGCTTTGCGTTTATTCTGAGGTCAATCGGTGCCATCTTCACATTGCTCAAAGCCAGCAAACGCACCTCAACGCCAGGGTCTCGCGAGCTCCTCAGACCAGGGCCAACTCGGTGATCTTCTTAGAATGGGGATCAAAGCCCGGCTCCGGGGCCCCGTGGCTCTAACAAGCAGCTGGTAAGGTCTGGAGGTAGCTGATTCTTATTTTTTCAAACACATTTTCACCATCTGTAGCTGAAATGATCTGTTCTCCTGCCTTCAAGTCCAACTTTTTATCTACATTTTGGCCTTCCTCTACACAGACCATTTTACTCTCAAAGCAAAAAAAAAAAAAAAAGAAGACGAATAAGGAAATTCATCAAAGAAAAGTCTTTACCTTCTTCGGTCTACTATTCTACAGTCACATATAACTCTAGGCAAAAAAAAGAAAGCCTTCCCGCCAACCTAACTTCCTTCCTTTAAAAATATAGACGTATTTTGCTTCCATTCACCTGTGGGATAACTTTGAAACAAATCTCACCGTTGTTAATTCGCTGTTAATTCAAGAGCTCAAGGTGATCAAAGGTCTTTAGCCCTTGTAAGAAAAATAGTACAATCTACTCCATGATACTGTGAGCAAGACAAGTTTTCCCAGCTTAGAGTCTCCATTTCCCTAGCTGTTCAAGGGAAGCCATAGTCATGTCTACTTCTCCAGACCATCACGATAATCAAGAGAAATTATGTATTCGAAAATTATCCACTGTAAATTAAACCCATCTCATTCTGCAGAAGAGTTGAAGCCACCTGCACCCCGACAGACAGGGAAGTAGCAATAGGGTATTTTTAATGAACTTTAAAGTTCAGTACAATAAGGAACAACAGCAGAAACACAGGTTAAAAAATGTAAACAGATCATGAGGATTATCTGTTCACTGTAGCCCAAACACAAGTAACCTTTCCAAGAGTCAAAGGAGGTGGCAAAAGAAAATTATTAGTGTATATGTATATATATGTACACATACATGTATATCTATATGTATATCGATACATATATGTATATCTGTATATGTACACACATATGTATATCTATACATATGCATGTATATTTATATATCTATAAACAGGTATATGTATAGATGTATATATACACACATATAAATTTGTGTATGTATAGATGAATATACAGATGTATATATACACATATATATGTGTGTATACACACACACATATAAATACTAAATTCTTTTTTTTTTTTTGTCGTGGGACTTGAATTCTGGGCCTGGGCGCTGTCCCTCAGCTCTTCAGCTTAAGGCGAGCACTCTACCACTTAAGCTACAGCGCCACTTCTGGTTTTCTGGTGGTTTATTGGAGATAGGAGTCTCACGGTCTCTCCTGCCTGGGCTGGCTTTGAACCGCGATCCTCAGATCTCAGCCTCCTGAGTAGCTAGGATTACAGGCGTGAGCCACCAGCGCCCGGCTTGAATACTAAATTCTTGAGAAGGAAAAAGACCTGTACCCTCTCCTTGGGTAGTACAAAAACTTCACAGCTCACTATATTTCAAAACAAACTCCTTACCTAGACCCTCTATAGAGGACATAAAGCGCTATCAAAACATTAACTAGAGCCGGGCGCCAGGGGCTCACAGCTGTCATCCTAGCTATTCGGGAGGCTGAGATCTGAGGATTGGCGTTGAAAGCCAGCCTGGGTAGGAGAGTCCACGGAACTCTCACCTCCAACTAAGCCCCACAAAAGCCAGAAGTGGGGCTGTGGTGTACGTGGTAGAATGCTAGCCTTGACCAAAAAAAAAAAAGCTTAGGGAGAACAGCCTGGCTCTGAGTTCAAGCCCTGGCGCCCAACCAAAAAGGAAAATAAACCCAAGTAATATCACCACGGGCGTGGTTCCCAGCGCCTCCAAAGAGCTTTACTGTGCACAGCGTCACCACAACGTCCCATCCCCAGAGCGGGCACAAGCCAGCGAGAGGCTGGCTTCTCCGTGCCTTGCGGTAATTGCTCCCTCGACGGTTCAGTACAGGAAATGTGTCCCGTTGCCCACGACGGCCCTTCTCAGCTCGGCTCGTGTTTTCCCCGGAAGCCCTGCGGTGATTCCCAGCACCCGTGGAGCTGTTGGGCTCGGGAGCCTGACCCTAAGTCTGAAGGGGATGGGGCACTTCCACGTGCTTTATCAAGCCAGATTTCCACCCACAAGCAGGACAGCAGCCTGTGCACTGGGGCCAACCCCCAAAACAAGAAGAGCCTACCCTTACTTATGCAAAAGCTCAAGACCTTCCGCGCGTGTCTGGCCCAGCCACGCGCTGGCTGCAGACACGCCCCTCTGAGAAACGAAGCCTGTGTCTCTCGAAGCCAAAACAGAACAAAAGTGCCCGGGCATGCCTCCTTGCCCGCCCGGGAAGGTTCTCTCGTAATCCGGCCCCGTCTTTGGGAGCGTGCTTTGTGGAGGAGGGGCGAATCCCCAGAGCACAAGGGTTTTTGAGGTCCGTGGGCAGCACTGGGACGTTGGCACTGCTGCTTCGTCCCACGGATCAATAGTTACAAGAACATTCTAGAAACCAGGTATCTTTGGTCGAACCTACTGCCAGGGTGCATGCAAAAGGCCAGTGAAGCAGGCGGGGGTGAGGAATCGGGGTGTCTAATGTCCCTGGTCCATCACGTGGACCATTTGAACCGAGGGAAGGAGTTTGGATCCCGTGATCATGGACAGGACTTGGGTCACGCGATCACTGATAGGCCTTGACTCCTCTGACCGGCCCTGAGGCTTATTTCACACCTACAGTGTCAGTTACACAATCCGAGAGTGCTTGAAGAAAGGTGCGTCGCCGCGGGCAGCCGCCGTTCAGCACTGCAAACAACCGCCGAATGTCATTCCTGCAATTAGTATCGCCTGCCCTCAGAAAGCCGTAGCCTAGATCAGACCACGGGTGACGAAGAAAATACTTGTTCTTCTGCACCATATCCAATAGATGAGTTCTCTGTTTTAACATCTCCTCCTTTTATCAGTGACTGATGAAATTGGATCTCATAGACACACTATTTTATAAGTCACTGGTAAAACTGAAAGGAGGACTTTCCCTATTGCTCTTAACTTAGTTTTGTCAGAGTTTTTTTTTTGTTTGTTTCTCCCTTAGGGCTTCAAATAACTCCAAAACAAAGAGCAGCCTCATCTTTTCCCTATTCTGGGCATTTCTAAGCATGAGAGTTCACTGAAAAGAAATATATCCATTTCCTACCGTGCCCAGCCATTTTCCAACCTCTGGCCTGTTCCTTGGTTTAAGGAGAACACAGAAAGAGATCAAATTGCCTACCCATTTTTAAATATTTCCAGAACTAGGCGATGATAAGGGAGGCGAATCAAACTCTCCGCTTCTTAGAAGCCCCAAGGCAGAGGAGAGTTGAAATCCAGCACACTTCACTCTCCATTCCCCACCCACAGCTGCACCCCGTGAGGTTCGGAGCTGCTCAGTGCGCCATTATTATCCAAGGGTAGAAAACCCAAATGGTCTTTTCTTTCCACCTCCTCTACATCTTCAAACGTACCACCACTTCCCCTCTGAAATGAAGAAGAAATATTGCCACTGATTATGTACTTTATATATATTATATATTTATATTGCACACACACACACACACACACACATACATACACACACACCACCAAGGCCAGATTCTACGTCTGATGGTGACTGTCCTTTGCCCCCCTAGTTACCCTCCCAGGAGCCCCTGCCCCGGCCAGCATGGCTGTCAGTGTCTGTGGATGCCAGCTTTCCCCGGGTGCATTTATCTTCAACCCCCACCAGTGCCCGAACAGAACTCTCAACTCGACGAAACTCATTTATTTCTACTCATTTATGGATGGCCTTTCATAAGCAAGGTATTAAGTCATCAATAACTTCAGAGAAATAAATGAGAGGCTCTAGAACTGGGCCAACAGATGATTTAAGCCACACACGCACTGAACATGGTAACAAGGATCCCGCGAAAAGCCCGCGCTGGGTCGGCAGCAGAATGTCCCCCACCTGGCAAGATTCACTGATTCGTTTCTCATTCCAATTATTATCCTATCACTGATGTTTTATTCTAACTAGAACCCAACGTGTTTCTCCACCACGTAGTGGAACAATTAACCTCTCCAGTCATCTAAGTACAATAAGGCTTAAAAATAAATAAATAAAAGAGTACGCCATGTTGACAGTTCTCTAAAGTGATGCTAAGGTACGTCGCTCCTCCCACTGACAAACACATCCCCGTGGAAGTCAGTTCTGGAAGCTGAGCTCAGGGCAAGCTGAACTTGCTGGGCAAGCGCTCTGCCTCTTGGGCCACGCCCCCAATCCTTTCCGCGTTCGGGTTGGTTCTCAGATAGGGTCTCACGCTTGTGCCCGGTGAGCCTCGGCCTGGGATCCACCCACCTGTGTCTCCCTTGCGGCTGGGCCCGCATCCGGCTCCTTGGAGCCTTTGCTGGAGGACGCATAGGACGCGTTCTTGGAGGGTATGACGTTAAGTTACCATCTCCTTCCCGTAGTAAATAACATTCACAAGAGAGGGAAGCGGGAAAGTCCGGCAGGGCGGCCTGCTAAGGTCTGAGGAGTCTGGGGAGATCTCCAGGAGGGTGTCTTTGGGGGTAGCAAGGCCGTCGGCAGGATGAGGGGAGCTCTGCACGTCCATTGTTTTGGGGTAGACGTGGCTTTCCTAGCTTGGTCTCCGTGAGCATGCCAGGATCCTGTCACAGCTTCTCCATTTGCCCTGGAGGGGTCCCCGCGTACAGCCTGAGGCTCTAGCTCGGGGGACGCATCCAAGGGGCCAGGAACCCCAAGTGTGCTTACAGACCTCTGACACCTCTCCTTCTCCCCCCACCCTCATCCCCCCAGCCCAAGCCTCGGTTTCTTCCAGTATGGAATGGAGACAAACTGGGGAATGCCATTTGAAAGATGGGAGATCTTGGAACCAGGGAGCTTGGATTTGAATTTCATTCTCCCTCTCTCTCTCTCTCTCTCTCTCCTCTTTCCTCTCTCCCTCTCCCCCTCTCTCCTTCCCTCACCTGGTCCGTTCACTCTTCCCTTTCTCCCCCCTCCCTCTCCCCTCCTCATTTTAGCCCGAAGATAAATGGAGAACTAAAACTAGGCCACGTTTGTTTTTTTTTTTCTTTCTTTCTTGTATCCATCCGATGTGTTGGGAGCGGAGCTGCTGCGTGGCTGGGGCAGCTGTTTCCCAGGGCTGAGGGCTGGCTGCACTTTCTGTCCAGCCATTTATCACCAGCCGTGGGCCGGCCAGCTGAGAAAGGGCAAGAAATAGCTGAGATAAAAATGCAAGTGTTGAAGCAGGGGCGTAGGGTCAGCCCAGGGGATTCCCTGTCCTCCGCCATCACCCTGACCTTAGAGGATGGACGGCGCATTGTTACTGGCTTACCGGGCCTGGGGCCGGGCAGAGCAGAAATCCGCTTGGAGCTCTAAGCGCTCTTAATGAGGGACGTGATCACAATTAGGGTTGACTGGAGTTCTCCTTCGGGAAGTAAAGCATCCTGCCGACTACACTTGCTATGATTTTTGTCCCAAAAAGGTTCTCACCTGCCTTTCTTTCTCCATTCTTGCATTTTCATTCTCCCAGAAACGCCATCAACTCATGTTTCTTTTCCCCCTTTTAATTCCTTTCTTTCTCCCCGCTCCTGGGGTAAGGGAGAGACAATGGTACTAAATTCTTACAAACTCATCACAAATCTCTCTCTCTGTGCTCTTCATAAACCACAGCGAGCTGTCCAAAATCCACCTTTCATGATGATCTGTCAAAGAAGAAAAGAACCTAAATACCAGCATAACAATGATTAGACTGTTATCATTCCTTTAGCATCGACCTTTTGGTAATCCATAAATAAATGCCATCCACATCTGACAGAAGCAAACCGCAAAAGTCCCGCCGCAGCAATCTGACAGAAATACCACGTTATGGATGTCAAAGAAAGTGGCATTTTTAGCTACCTAAGAAAATTAGGATTATTAAGAAAAGCAAATGTCGACACGTGCTGCCAGAGTCATCTGCACAGGAAGATCTTCGAGCTGATTTTCTTGGCAGCTGCCTTACCATCTGAATGAATAGGCCTATACTTAGAAACCTTTCTTAATGTAGCTTGACTTCTCTGTGTGTGTGTGTGTGTGTGTGTGTGTGTGTGTGTACACGCGCACGCCACATATGTACCAAGTTAAGCATCTCACAGACTTTTCCTGCCTCCAACTGTGATCCTCAGATCTCAGCCTCCCTTGCAGCAAGGAGTACAGGCATGAACCACCGGCGGCCGCCTTTTGACATGTGTTTTTATATTAGAACGTGCGGGCTATTGATCTAACGCCTTGCTCCATGTTGCCTCTCCAGGAAGCAAACAGCGCGGATAAAAACGCCACAAGAACCGAGAGCGCGCTGCTGTTCAGAGTGTGGTACGGCTTCGACCACAAGTATCCTTTGGCAAATGCTGCTGTGTGGCGGGGAACCTGCCCTGGATCGTGAAGCTGCGTGCTCCGTGCTCCTGAGAAACAGGAAGGTAAGGCAAAATGTGTTTTTTTTTTTCCAATGGTGGAGATTGCAGGGAGCAGGGGGTAGAGAAGATGATCTCCAAAGGCTCAAAGAAAATACGACGGAGTCCAGACTGGAGTGCTTATGAAAAGCTAAAGTGCAATCTCCGAGTCGATGGTATTTGGTGCTTGGTTGTGTTTTGGCTGGTTTGGGGTTGGGGGGTTTTGTGGTAGTCATCCAATCCTTTCTGATGCCAGTTGACAAAAATCATATCGTCCCAAAGGATCGATCTAGTTTGCCGTTCTTTGGAAGGATCTTATTTCCGGTTGGGTTGGTGGGAGAGAATGCTGGGGGGGGGGGCGGGTGTCACCCGTGTGCTTTTATTTCCTGCTGTAAAAAAATAAATAAGCGAAGGGAGGGTGGGTGAGCGATCCGTTTCACCAAGCTATAACATAAGATAACGCCGCGTTTGCTCCGGGCAGACTGGAGGCAGCTTTTCCTCCTGAAGGGGAATTCTAAAAGCGGTCAAGGTCTGTGGGAACCCGGCAGCGTGTGGTTGGAAGGGCTGGCCAGTTGTGGCGGGGGGCCGTGGGCAGGTCCCCGGGTCCCAGGCAAACGCATCCGGGGAGGAAGGCGGGACCCGCACCGGGAGCGGAGCAGGGCGGCTCTGTGGGGCGGGGTCCCCTGGTCGCCCGCCACCCCTCTCTCTCTCAGGTAGGAAATGTCGATCTCAGAGGCGTCTGAAGTCCCAAAGCAGTAAGGAAAGCCACAATCGATCCGGGGGAAAGAGAGAATGAAGAGCACAGGAAGGAAATTCAGAGCATAGGTGAAGAGGAGGTTGCCTGGGGAAGGGAAGGGGGGAGAGAGGAATGAAAGGGGGAGGAAACTCACACTACAGAAATGGCCAGTAAATCAGAGAAAAGGAGGAAACGCTAACTAGCCAGGGCCAAGAGAAGCAATAGTAACACGCAGTGTGAAGTTGAGGATCGCGCCTCCGTTGAGAGTTCCAGGAGTCACGGCGTGGAGGTGCCGAGGAGGGAGGGTGTTTGGGGGTCTCTGGGCTTTGTCCCTCCCTTCCTTCCATCACGCCCAAGTCCATCACGCCGCCGTGAGCCACCTCCTACCTTGGCCCCATGACCTACCTGCAGTCTTCCTGCAGGGAGAGCTCTCTTCCAGCCGCAGGGTTTTCTTCCGCCTTTGCTTGTTACTCCCTGAGAAGTAGATCTTTAGAGAACTGGGCTGAAAGGTACACCTAAGGAGACGGATCGCCAGGATGTGTAAAGCCGGGGACACATGAGCACAGGAAGGCCTTGTTTTGCAGTGGAAGCCAAAAAGGGGGGAGGCGGGGTGCGGATTAACTCGGGGAAAACGAGAAAATGGAAGGTGGACCCCGCTCAGCTTACAGCCAGTGACACTAACTCCAGATGCTGCCGTCGCCTTTGCCCCGGGAAGTTCATTTCCATAACCGCAACGCCTCTCCTCGCGGTCATCTGCCCTCCCGCACGCGCGCGTTCATTCTAGAAATTGCCGTACAGACATGGCTGCGCACACATCTCCTTTTCCCCCTTCGACAGCAAAGCATTTGTGCCCTATTCAGGCGTGACATTTATACCTCGAGAGTAGCCAGCCAACCGGCGTCAGCTCTGCCACCTCCTGACAGGCCTGTATTTTTAGACACAAATAATCCGCGTGGCATCTATTGTCCAAGACACCCCGAGTGTCCTCCGTGCCAACCAGGGACGAGCCTCCTCGGGTTGGGAAGCCGTTCCTGCTCTGTTCCCAGACCGTTACAGCGGGCAGAGGAGACGTTCCAGAGAATGATTGGCAGGGCCGGGAGGTCGTGGAGGGGTGGGCTCTTCGCCTACCATGTTCAAAGTCCCCCCCCCAGCCCCCTAAATAAAGAAAGGGAGGAAGGAAGGGAAGTATTGGCAGAAGAAATACATAAGCCTGCAAACCACGGTGTCCGCCCGAGAGACAGGACCCAAGGGAAGCGATTTGCCTGCGTGCCGACATACCTGCGGATTTATTCCCAGAAATTGCAGTATGGAATGCAGAATGCTGGGGAAATGCACCTTCTCCAGGCTAGGCTGTCTGTGGGCTGGAGGTGGAGCTTGTGTGACTGTGTGTGTGTGTGTGTGTGTGCATGCACATGCGTGTGTGTGTGTGTGTGTGTGCGTGCGTGTGTGTGTACACCTGGACGGCACTGGGATTTACATCCAAGGCCTTGTGCTTGCTATCGGGGGTTCTACTGCTTGAACTACTTCCACTCCACGGTTCCGTCTTTACGTTCACTGTTTCTGAGGTGGATTCTCGCGTTATTCCCAGGCCAGCCTGGACCGCGATCCTCCTATTTGCGCTTCTTCCCTGGGTCACGAGGGTGACAGGCCTGTTCTGTCCCCAGCCGCTGCGCTTCCCCCCCCCCTCCAACCCCAGTAGCTCGGATGACCAGTACGTACCCCTGAACACCAGAGTGTCGCAAACGTGTCGGTGTTTTTCCCCTCGGGGCTTAGCCTTGAACCCATTCCTCTTATTCCATCTGTAAAACTCATTAAAGAAAAGCCACCTGGACAGCAGCGCGCGATTATGCATGCTTGCTCTCTAACACATGGCTCTCATCTCACACATCAATTGGTGCCGGGTGGAGGTTCACAGGCCCAGGGGTCTCCGCTGATCAAACGCCACCATGGAGAAAGGCGTGCCCAGGTTTCTGGGTCTCGTCTTCAACGTGTGGGGGCCGAGAGTCCACTATGTCGGGGTCTCTCAGTGTGGTTCATTCTCCTGACTGACAGACCCACGCTGGCCAAGTTCAAAGACAGCAGAAGCGTAGACCAGACAGACGCCAAACTCCTCAGTCCCCGCTCCCCTTGGGAATAAACGTCCCTCCCCAGCCCGAGGTCCCCCCATCTGCCAGTGTGTCCCTCCACCCCGCCCTGGCCTTCCTCAGACCCGCTGAGTCCACATGAGCATCCGGTGTCTCTTCCCTTTACCTCCTTTTCACTAAAATACACCCTTGTTCCCCCCCCACCATGCCCCGATGCCTTTTGTTCACACATTTGTCCCCCAGCCGCAGGAGCGGCGCCCGGCAAAGAGCAGACGCTCAATAAAGAATAGTTGACCGAACGCCTGAATTGATCAGGCCAGGAAGCGAGTGGTGTTTTTCCCAACAGAGCACGACCTTCCTCTGAGACACGGAGGTACAGGAGAAGCCAATTAGTTACCTGAAGGTCACCAAGCGAATCTGAGAGCAGAGCAAGGCCACGTGGGTAATACGAGTGTTCCACCGGGTTGAGCCCCGGGAGACGGCCATCACCCCGGGCCCAGACTCAGGGCCTCGCCCCTAGACTCAAAGAGCCACGCCCCCCTCATCCGCCCCCCCCCCAGGGAAAGCCACGTGGGTTAATCGTCCATTGTCCAGGACATACTGCCCCCAGAATGTTACAGGTGCGATTTGACGGGAAATGCGGTTAATCATAACACGCGCAAGGGTCCACGGTCCCCACGCTCAGGCTTTTGGATGAGCTAACGCGGTTCTGAATTCCATTCCAAGGAAGGTGCGTTGAGACCAGCAAGCAGCCTGACCCCGCCGACCCAGAAGTTAGACTCGCCGACTCAGGTTCTGTGGGTGCAACTGATCTAGAATGGGGAGCTGGGGGAGGGGGGGTCAGCTTAGGAGTCATGTTGAGACTGGGGGGGGGGAGGGAGGGGAACCTGGGACTCATCTCAGAACACAAGATCTTAGTCCCGTGTCGCCTCCTAGAAGGAGGCCATTGGAAGCTGACATGAATATCTCCTTATTCACACCCAAAGACCGCCCAGCAAAGCACTGTCTTAGATTCCCACCGTCCTACAATGGACGTCACCTAGTACCTAGGTGACAGATGACCTTGCCCTCTGCTTTCTGCATCCTCTGGGAGCCTTTACCCGCTGTGTCTGGAGGGTCTGTCCAAAGACACGGGGCCTCCGTGTCCAGCCCCCCCCACGCACCGCCGTCCGCTGAAAACGAGCACATTCTCGCAGAGTCACACACGGTCCACGGCGGGGGACCACGGGCGGGATGGCGGTTGGCACGCACACAGAATTCCGCAAGGCCGCCGCTTTCCATTTTGAAGACACAGGTGGTCCCAGGCCCCTCCCTGGGCCACAGGGTGACAGATGGAGATTGAGCCACCCCAATGTCCACTCTGCTTTCCGGGCAGTAAGTTTTCCATTGCAACAGCTGCGTGTGAATGTGTTAGAAAGTCTTCAGTCTCTGTAAACAGGACTCTTCCCGATTCAGTCCGGGGCCAGCGGCCTCGGCAGATTGAGCTGCTGTGCCGCGATCAGTGCTCAGCAATCGTTGTTGTCATGTATATGATTTTCCGAAGTTAGGAGCCCTTATCCCTCTCCCTAGTTCTCTGGAAATTATACCACCGATCGCAGTTCTGACTTGACAGAGAGGTGCTGCCGTTTTTCTCCTCCACAAAGGAAGCCACGCGAACCTTTGATGATAATTATTCCTCCGGTGCCCTCCCGCACAGCCGGGCGGGTGTTTGGCTGTTAGCGATGCGGTGCTGTCCTGAAGATTTCTAGGTCAGAATCAGATGATTGTCATAGGGGGGGGAAAAAAGGAGAGGGAATAAATGTAAGGGGTGCCAACGTGGCTGGGTTTAGTTTTCATAGCTTGTGGTAAGTTTTCTTTAATCATTGTTTATCGCTCCTCCTCCTCCGCTAGCCAAGGTATGTGTAGGCCGCCAAGCAATTCATGCGCTGCCTGAGACCCATCATCGGCCTGGACGCAGGCCGCGGGCTGGACAGAGAGCGAGGGGCCCGAGTCTGGGCGGCAGACTGCGGTTACTCCGCACCTGTCTGCGGGCAAAGCTCCCTACGAAGCGTGCCGGGCAGGCACGGCCCCGCCCTCAGCAAGCCCCAACACTTCTTGGGAGTAGATGGTGAGATGATGCTTCAAACCACGCAGAAGGAAGGGGAGGCAAAGGTTCAAGCGAGCTCAGGCTGAG